CCCTATGGGTACAAAGAGCCACAAATAAAATCCTGACCAGTGTTTAGATATTTGTAGATTAAACCTCCTGATGGAGTCCTTAAAGCTGAACTCTGGACAGGAAATGTATCAGCTGGCATTGTTGGTGCTGTCATACCTTAGTGCAGCCATCACTAAATGGCAGACCGAGTCAATGTACCTCCTGGACCCGCCACGGTCACGCTATTTAGGAGCCAGTTCTTCACCTCCCAGCTGCCGCTAGCACTGTCTTCTTTGCAGAGCTGACATAGGGAAACAGTACAACAATGGATGGAGGGCGGTAGCTGGCCCAGTTAACTGGTTGCTATGATGCAGGGCAGTCCTAGAAATCAATCTGTTAACTGGGGCAGCTCCTGCCCTCTGTCCATCACTGTGCTGCCCTTCCGATGTCAGCTCTAGATCTTCTGTGTATTCCGCCCTCCGCACTGTAAGGTAGGACAGGGAAGTGGGGTCTCACTACTATGAAGTACAATAGAAGCTGGGAGTGATGTGAATGGGGTTTGGAAAATGTAATGTGAAGAGAAGGGGGTCATATAAAAGGGGCCGGTGAGGACAGGAATGTGAAGTGAGTGTTCTGAAAGGGGGGGGGGGGGTTCTACAAAGGGGGCAAGGACAGGTATATGAAAGGGGGCTGGGGACTTCATTGTGATGGAGAGGTTCTTTAAAGGGGTTGAGGACAAAAATTTGAAGGGGGACTGAGGATTGCAATGTGAAGGGGCGGTTCTATAAAAGGGGTGAGGACAGGAATGTGAAGGGAGGCTGGGGACTGCAGTGTGATAGAGGGGTGCTATAAAGGGGATGAGAACAGGAGCATGAAAGGGGGCTTGGAACGGCAATTTGAAGTAGGGGGGTGATATAAAAGGGGGCCGAGGACAAGAATGTGAGGGGGATTAAAGACTAATGTGCAGGGAGGGATGATGTGCAGGGGAACTGAGAATGTCCTAGTGTGAATAGAGCTTCAAAATTGCCACATGAGTTTTTTTTTTCGAGCGCTGTTTTTTTTTTTTTTTTTTTTTTAGCGGTTTTAGCTCAAACAGCTGCTTTCTGCCCCTTTTTTTCAGCTTTCCTATGGCCACTTCAACACCTAGTTGAAAACATCTGAAAATAGCTGGAAAAGCATGCATTTCTGCTCCAAAAAACACTCAAAAATGCTTGTGGGAAAAAATGCTTGAAAATGTGATGCTTAGGTGTGAATGTAGTATGTTGTACTCCTTTAATACCAAGACTCATTGATTAATGTAAATTCTTGTATGAATTGGGTACTATTTAATAACTGAACTTTTAAAGAAATTTTGAGACGTGCATCTTTTTCATGATAAGGGCTACAGCCAAGAGTTGAAGTTAGCCGTTTGCTGACTCTCCTTATGTTATTTGGTCAAGTATATTCTTATCCATACTGAAAAATGCTCATAACTGGGAATATCCATTTTGGTTTGGCTTACCCAATAATTGGAAAGCATAGAATAGTTATTGCTGTATTTAACAAAAACATCTCTTGTGACTTTCACAATTTTACATGTGTTCTCTCCAAACTTTTGCTGCATTCAAATTAGAAATGTATTTATTAACCACTAGAGGTTTCATTGTTGTAGCACAGAGTTAGTGAGTAGCTTTTACTTAGTAGTGATTGTTCTTTTATTCATAAAACTCTTTAAAGTTTCTGCTCTGAAATTAATAAAAATAAATTCTAAATTAACTTCTCCTTTGTTCTGATTAATGAGCTGTTGAGAAATGTGTAGAATGTCCCCTACCAGAATGTGTTCGAACTCCAGCACTGGAAAGCAACTCTGTGTATATGGCACTGGGACTGCTGGTCACTGACAGGGATTCTTCTTCCGTGTCTACAGATCTGTAGCAGCTGCTACATCTTGTTAAATAATGGGTGTCTTCCTGAAAATGCCACTCTGGTGAAACGTACGTTGACAACTACGTCCGGGTCCTGTATGACATCATAATATTTGCTGTTAAGGCCTCATGCACACTGGACATTCTGTTTTTAAAGCTGCTCCTAGTGGCTGCTTTTTTTTTTTTTTTTTTTTTTTTTTTTTTTTTTTACATTTTCTGCCTCTAAACTCTCCTGCATGTTAGCCTATGTGTCCATGCACACATTAACATTTGGAGGCCTTTGGGGCAAAGCCTGGAAAAAAACCCCCACTGCCAGCGAGTCCAGGGGCAGCAGAGTTAGGGCAGAAAAAATGATTGACGCACATAAACACGTATAAAAGTGTTAAGCATTTATTCATTCCAATGGCAAGAGTAAATGTTATATTTTTCTGGCCAAATAAATGAATTAATGCACAAACGTTTGACATGGGTAAATGTGTTACGTTTCTTTTAGGCTCCATGCACACTAGCATTTTTTTAAGCTCCAAAAATGAAAAAAATGCTGGTAATAGTGTTTTTTTAGTAGTGTTTTAGAAGCGTTAGCGTTTTTACAGTACATGTGGGAAAAAAAGCTGTTGAGTGTTTTAGGAGCATTTAGCGGGTTTTTTTCTGCTGGAAAAACGCTCCAAAACTATTTATTTCTTTTTTTCTGCTCTTAGACCCTGAATCTCAAAAACCGCTAATTGCCTAAAATAGTGTGCATGAACACATAGGCTAACACTATTTAGCTTCTAGGAGCAGAAAAAAGGTAATAACCGCTTCTAGGAGCTTAAAAAAAATGCTAGTGTTCATGGAGCCTTCCAAGTACCAAGTGTTGTTGTTTTTTTTTTTTTTTTTTTTTTTTTTTAAAGTCCAGTGCATATGGAGCCTTAGATGTGTGAATTAGATTTACTGTGTGCTTTTTTTTTTTTTTTGTTTGTATAAAGCATTGCTCCTGACAGATTTTGATGTCTGCTTGATATGGAGAACAACATAAATGCTTTTGCAACAATGTGCCTGTACACACAGGCAAGGAAATGAGCACTGCGTATTCACAAGTAAAAAAAAAAAAAATCTGCGTTGCCGATCAGTAAATTTGCAGTTTTACTTGCAAATACGCACGAATACGCTCAGGTATGTGCAAATGCCACGCTTCCTACTTGAGTGTGCATACTCTGAAATATGCACAAGTGATAAACATCCCATCTTTGTTTTTTTTTTTTTATTTTATTTTATTTTTTTGCCAGGAATGGCTGATGCTCATGCATTAGTACAAATCCATATACCAAAAACTAAGTGAAGTGCTCTAGGAACGTCATAGACGAATGAATCAAACCCCCTGATACAAAATAAATATAACCTTAAATAGTGTGCAATACAATATCAAAAACTTAATAGTTGCAAAATAAAACACTAATTAATAGTGCTATAACATTCTAATCAAAAGGCAGTATCCTTTGTGTGCGTGTGCATGCAAATTCTCCAAAAACTTTTCAGTACCATACAAGCTTATAAGGTGAAAGAAAATTCTTCCAAATCCTTAAATCAGTGGTTCTTAACCTTGTTGGAGGTACTGAACCCCACCAGTTTCATATGCGCATTCACCGAACCCTTCTTAATTGGAAAAATAAAATATGATTTTTAAAATTCAAAACATAGGTATATATTTAGGTATATATTTATACATAGGTACACAAAATGAACAAAACCGTTAAGAACAAAGAACAAAACCATTAAAACATGATTTTCACACAAAAACAAAAACATAATAATGAATATTTACTGCACGAATCATATGAGTCGGGTGTGGGTCTTCACCTCCGCCGAACCCGCGAGACTGACTCACCGAACCCCTGGGGTTCGATCGAACCCAGGTTAAGAACCACTGCCTTAAAGGTTCACACATTATCCACCGTTGATGCAATTCTGAAGTATCCACCACCAAAACCTCTCAAGGTGTCCTCTGAGATGGTTTGATAGACCCCACTAACATAATGTCAAACTCCCTTTTTGCAAAGCGATATATGACAGCTTGTGTCCACGGTTCCTCTTCATGATGACCATTCTACTCCCCCAGTAAGAAATTCATGGAAAGGATAAAGGGAGAGAGACCAAGACTTCAAACTTCTTTCATATATATATATATATATATATATATATATATATATATATATATATATATATATACTGCTCAGAATAAATGAGTACACCCCCTTTTAATATCTCAATTAACACGAGAACAATATTCCAAAATTTTGACAAAACTGTGTTTTATAGAACATTTGTTTGGCTCATTATATGAAAGTAAGGTTATTAATCTAACTTAATTACAAAATCTTCAGTTTTACTCAAGTTTATTTGATGCAAAAATGAATACAACCCACAACAAAAACTGACAGCACTAAGTCTTCTAGGTATGGAATGAACATGTTGGTGACATATTGTGCAACATCGATCTTTTTTTGTTCTTCAAGAACGGCCTCTTTTAGAGCCTGGCTGCTGGATGGAGAATGATGCTCAACTTGTCTCTTCAGAATTTCATATTCCATAGGTCAGGGCTTGAAAAAGCCTCTCGCCAAATGCGAGAAATTCTCTGTGGCGAGCTCAGATGAAGCATGGAGCAACTGCACCTGCGCTCCAAGTCTCTTTGTGAAGCCGAGTTCCGGTTTACAACTTCCGGTTTCCGGCTTCTGCGGCACCTCCGCTGTGGGGACAGGCGCAGGAGAGGTCCGCTCTCCTCCGCTGAGAGGAGATGCCCTCTCCACCGCCGCGGAGGACTCGGAGGGACTAGGAGTAAGTACTGTATACAACATGTCATATCACTATAATGGAGTACAGGGGAGCTGGGATATACATTACTGTGTACAGTTTTATATTTTGGACTCTTTATTCTAAAGAAAAATTTAATTTCATAAGCTTTAACTAGTAGCCGACCGCAGATAGCCGAATGACGGCTGCACTGCGGCCGGCCATTTCTGAGTGGACGTCATATGACGTCCTCCCAGAACGCGCTCTCCTGCGCGCCCCAGGGGGCGCGCACCCGCGATCTCCGTGATCGCTGTGTCCTACGGACACAGCTGATCACGTGATGTGGTAAAAGGCCAATCACAGCGGCCTTTTACCACGTGATCAGCGGTGTCCAATGACACGCTGATCAGAGGGAAATGCAAGTGCCGTTCTCGGCTGCACTTTCCTCACGCTGTCAGATCGTGAGGAAAGTACTGCCGAGAACCGGCAGTTGTCAGAGCGGGGAATGGCACCGATCATCAGGGCACTGATGATCAGTGCCCTGATGATCGGTGCCCAGCAGTGACACCTGCAAGTTCCGCCCAGCAGTGCCCCCACCTGTGCCCAGCAGTGCACCCACCTGTGCCACTCTGCAGTGCCACCCACCTGTGCCCAGAAGTGTCACCTACCTGTGCCCACCAGTGCCACCCACCAGTGCCACCCACCTGTGCCCACCCACCAGTGCCACCCACCAGTGCAGCCCAGCAGTGCTGCCAGTCAGTGCCACCAGTCAGTGCCCAGGGGTTGTGCCAGTCAGTGCCGCCAGTCAGTGCCCAGCAGTGCTGCCAGTCAGTGCCGTCTATCAGTACCCATCATCAGTGTCACCTATCAGTGCCGCCTATCACTGCTGCATATTAGTGCCGCCTATCTGTGACACCTCATTAGTGCTGCCTATCAGTGCCCTTTAGTGCTGCCTATCAGTGCCCATCAGTGCCGCCTATCGGTGCCCATCAGTGCTGCCTCATCAACGCACATCAGTGAAGGAGAAAAAATACCTGTTTGAAAAACTTTATAAAAGAAACAAAGAAACTTTTTTTTTTTTTCAAATTTTTTGCACTTTTTTTTTATAGCGCAAAACGTGAAGCGCCCAGTGGCGATTAAATAACACCAAAAGAAAGCTCTATTTGTGAGAAAAAAATGATCAAAATTTCATATGGGTACAATGTTGCATGACCGTGCAATTGTCAATCAAAGTGCGGCAGCGCTGAAAGCTGAAAATTGGCCTGGTAAATAAGGGGGTATAAGTGCCTGGTGGTTAAGGGGGCGTGGTTTGGAGCGGGCCAGGGGTGGGGTTGGGGGCGGACCTGGGCAAGGTTGGGTATGGCAACTGGGGGAGTACAGTTTTTTTTTTTTTTTTTTTTTTTTTGTGACCGGCTAGTAGGTCTGGACTCAAAATTTTAACCCCTGCCATAGGTGTTCGATTGGATTCAGATCAGGAGACGTACTTGGCCAATTAATCACTTTCACCCAGTTCTTCTTCAGAAATGCAACAGTGGCCTTTAGATGTGTGTGTTTGGGTCATTTTTCATGTTGGAAAAGTGTGCGACGACCGAGGGCACAGAGTGATGGTAGCATCTTCTCTTTCAGTATAGAGCAGTACAACTGTGAATTCATGATGCAATCAAAGAAAATGCAGCTCCCTGAAACCAGCCGCACTCATGCAGCCCCACCGAAGGACACAGCCTCCACCATGTTTCACTGTAAGCATCATGCCTTTTTCGTTGTACTCCTCACCTTTGCAACACCATACAGTTTTGAAGCCATCAGTTCCAAAAACATGTATCTTGGTCTCATCACTCCAGAGTACAGAGTCCCAATAGTCTTTTTCAGCATGGGCCCTGGCAAATTCTAGGCAGGCTTTTGTTTATGGGCTTTAGGAAGGGCTTCCTTCATGGACAACACCCATGCATGCCATTCCTCTGCAGTGTACGCTGTATTGTGTCATGGGAAACAATCACCCCAGTTTGGCTTTCTACTTTTTTAGCTTCAGTGAACTTGCATGGTGATTTTTTTTCAACCCTTCTCATCAGAAGACGCTCCTGTCGATGTGTTAACGTCCGTGGACAGCCTTGATGTCTCCGTGGGTTGGTTGCAGTTCCATCTGACTGAAAAGTTAAGCTTTGCTGATCTCGTAGCCTTCATCTTTCTTCTGTAAAGAAATTTTTTTTCTTTCTCGGCCTTGTGACCTTTCTCTTCCATGTGGTGTCATTGCTGACAGCATGAAATGGGAAGGGGTTTTCTTTAAGTAACACCCTTTTATTAACTGTCTGCTGGACATCTGTTTATTGAATAATTAGACTCACCTTTAGTTCTTGTTAGGAGCAAAGATAAATTTTAGACAATCCTAAGACTTTCATTGGGTTATATTCATTTTTGCAACATGTTCTTGAATTAATTTGTTAGGAAAAATACTTTTTCGTGTACAAATTAACTGTTTCAGCTCCACCCCATAGCAGAAATACTGCTACAGGGTGGCAGCTGTGCGCAAATTCGTGTGTGTGTATATGTGTGATTTTTCATTTCTGGGTAAGGGGCGTGCACACACCCTACCCGCGGTGCCATTTGCCGCTGTTAATCACCAGGTCCCGGCTGGTGATTACTTGCCGGCACCCAGTGATTGCTGAGGATCTCCGATGGTGGTGGGGGGAGGAGAATGTTAGTAAGCAGTTCTCCTCCCTGTGAGCTACTGCACAGCCATACAAAGCAGTGTGCTTACAGTGAAGCACTAACACAGGACACAAAGTAAAACCGCACACAGTTAACCCTTTGATCGCCCCACATGGTAACCCTTTCCTACCCACTTCCATTAGTAGTGTCAGTGTTTTTTTATTAGCACCGATCACTATATTTGTGTCACTGGGAATGTCAGTGATGCCAAGTCAGATTCCTCCAGTGTCAGAATGCCCGCAGCAGTCCTGCTATAAGTCGCTGGTTGACGTCATTACTGGTAAAATTTTTTTTTTAAAAAAGCCCAGTATATATACCGCCATTTTCTAAACGCTATAACGTTCACGTAAACCAATTAATTTACGCATATTGGGATTTTTTTCTTAGCAAAGACATGTAGCAGAATACATTTTGGCCTAAATTTATCAGGAAATTCGATTTTTTAAACATTTTTTACCAGACATGTTTAACCAGTTACCGCCCAGCCTATAGCTAGATGGCGGCCGGGCGAACAGCCCATCCCTCCAGGTAGACACCATATGGCGTACTTTCAGGCATGCGCATGCCTGCAGGGCTGTGTTGTGGCACGATCTGTCACCGGCCATGTACCTTGGACATTGCCGGTGACAGATCTGTGCACTGGCCCCATTGCCAGTACCATGTGACCTGCTGTGACCAATCACAGCAGGTCATATGACAGTTGTATACAATGGATGGCTTCCTTTCATGCCATCCATTGTATACAAGTGTGTCTAGCTGTGAATGGTCACAGCGATCACATGCACAAGCTGGGCCAATCACAGCCCAGCTGTGTCTTGTGATTAGCCATGGCCAAATCACAGCTAAAAAACCCTGAATGAATCGATTTCATTCAGGAAAATACTTGCTCATAGCAAAGAAAAGAAAAGAAAAAAAAAAATACTGATCACTTCCCCAAAGTAGTACAATGTTACTATGGTAACATTATACTACTTTGGTCATAGTGAAATATGAAAAAAATCTTTAAAAAAGAGAAATAAAGAAAATGAAAAATAAACTAAAAATAATTTTTTTTTTCGTACTGCCAACAGTCGGTGTCCCCTGATCACCGCCATGCCAGTTATGACGATGCTGTACTGCACTGGTGACAGTATGTAAAAATAAAAGTGAATCATTTTTTTAATTTCTTCATTTCTGAAAAATTATGACAAAATAACAACTTCAAAAAACTCGCCATGCCTCTTTGCAAAAAAGGTCATTTGGGGGATATCTGTCCTCTCCTGACATTCTTGGACCTCAAGAAATTAGATTGGCTGTCAGTACTTCAGGATTGGTCAATTTTCAGATATATCCCATAGTTTGTGAACTCTATAACTTTCCTACAGAGTAATTAATACATCCTAATTTGGGTTATTTTCACCAAAGAACTGTAGCAGAATACATCTTGGCCTAAATTTATGAAGAACAATTACTTGCAAACTTTAACAGAAACCAAGAGAAACGTGTTTTTTTTCTAAATTTTCGGTCCTTGTTAATTTAGCAAAAAATAAAAACCTCAGTGGTGATTAAATGCCACCAAAAGAAAGCTCTACTTGTGTGAAGAAAATGATAACATTTTAGTTGTCACTTTTTTTTTTTTTATGGCGCAAAAAATAAAAAACCCGCGATCAAATACCACCGAAAGAAAGCTCTGTTCGTGGGAAAAAAGATGTAAATGTCATTTGGGTGCAGCATTGCATTACCGCGCTATTTGTCAGTTAAAGTAATGCAGTGCTGTAATGCAAAAAATGGCCTGGTCAGGAAGGGGGGGGGGGGGGGGGTGGGGAATCCTCAGGAGGGTAAGTGGTTAACAAATCTTGTTTGCAATCAATGGCCTGCATTTGTGGGAGTATTTCGGGAGTATTCTCCACTCACATGATAAAATTGCTTGTAAAAACAAAACCTCAGCTAATTGGAGTCCTGGCTCCGCCCTGCTTGATGTCACTGCCCGCCAGGAACCTAAAAGCATTTTAGAAGTAAATTAATAATACGGCCAATAGAATGCATTAATGCTCAAAAGCTAGACAACAAGAGTTCCAGTGTTGAGTGGGCTTTTTACAGACACCCCATGCGCCCATATGAGAGTACCAAACCTGATTTTAAAAAAGGTGCACAGTACTTAACAAAATGCTTTGGTCTCTGCAGGTCTGATAAATTGGCCGGTGTATAGCCAGGAGAAAGTTTGTCTGTAATCACATTTTACTTTTTTTTTTTTTCTTTTCTCTTTTTGCCAGATTCTGTGTTAGCGATAGTTTTAGAGAAGAGACCTGAAAGGGCTAATAACACTGCTTGAGATGATATTGCAGAGTGCATCACACAGATGAGGCCTTATTCACACGAGTGTACTTAAATGTACACCCATTTGGGAGCCGTGTTTGCTTGTACAGGATGCACAGTTTCTGTTCTACATGCAGGCAGTCCTATTCTTGTCAGGATGCAGCAGCTGCTGGACTTGTCCTGTCTGCACTTGGGGACACATTCCTACTCACACCTGTGCAAACCCATGCAGGTAACACCCCGTGTGAATGAGGCCTAAAACAAAACGCGTTCAATTGGAGTTCTTATAGACTAAAAGGGAGCAAATTGGATAATTTTGTTTTCAGTTTACATTCACTTTAAACTGCTTCTGGAGTTCTTCTTTAAAGTGGTTCCAATGTTGTTTTTAGCATATGTTTTTTGTTTTTTTTTTTTTTTTTTTTTTTTTTAATGCACTGGACACCCCCCCCCCCCCCCCCGAAGCCATTTACCTTAAACCTCTCTGTCAAGTGCTGTGCATGCTGGTCTTTCTCCCTGCTCTGCAGGACCAACTGAGAGCAACGGGATCCATTGGCTCTCTCTGGCTCCTGCTCAGTCCAGTCAATCAGGGAGGAAGGAGGGGGCATGTTTGCCCCCTTAGCACACTGCATTCTATGGGGGCACACTCGGAGAGGAGGAGTGGACAGCACTGGCAGGGGACCCTGGAAGAGGAGGTAAAGATCGTTTTGTGCTATTGCCCAGAGCAGGTAGGTATAATTTTTATTTTTTTGTTTTCAGGTAAAAATGTGAGCCTTTAGTATCACAGTAATTAATGTAACTACCTCTACTAGATCTGTGTCTTGGGCACAGTACGTTTAAAGTCAGT